TTCCACATTACCAAGCATGATATCCTTCTCCAAGAAACGGTCCCTTCTGACAACGTTCTAGCTTCCAAGGAACATTCCAGGTGCACTTCCTCCAGGACAGATGTTAGTTCTTTTAGCAGTTCAGGGTACTTTCAGTATTCTTCACCAACACCACAGCTCAAAAGCATCAACTTTCGGTCTTCCTTATTCATTATCCAGCTCTCACATGCATATGAGGTGATTGAAAACACCATGGCTTGGGTCAGATGCAGCACATTTGCCCAATGCAATACAACTTTCTGATGTTTAGACTGCTGCTTCCACTGGTGTTGATTACAGAATCAAGTAATATGAAGTCCTTGACAACTTCAATCTTTTCTTCATTTATCGTGATGCTGCTTATTGGTCCAGTTGTGAGGATTTTCATTTTCTTTACATCAAGGGGTAATCCATACTGTAGACTACTATTGTCTTTTATCTTCATCAGTAAGTGCTTCAAGTCATCCTTATTTTCAGCAAAATTGAGTCATCTGCATATCGCAGGTTGTCAATGATTCTTCCTTCAATCCTGATGCCACGTTTTTCTTCATATAGTCTAGCTCCTCAGATTATTTGATCAGCATACAGATTGAGTAAGTATGGCGAAAGGATACAACCCTGACACACTCCCTTCTTGATTTTAAACCACACAGTGTCCCCCTGTTCAAATGAGAGCCTCCTGGTCTATGTACAGGCCCCTCATGAGCACAATTAAGTGTTCTGGAATTCCCATTCTTTTCAATGTTATCCATAATTTGTTATGATCTACACAATTGAATGCTTCTGCATAGTCAACAAAATGTGAGTAAACATCTTTCTGGTATTCTTTGCTTTTAGCCAAGATCTACCAGACATCAGCAATGTTAACCCTCGTTCCACGTTCTCTTCTGAATCCAGCTTTCACTTCTGTACGTTCTCTTTCAATATATTGCCACAATCATTTTTCAATCATCTTCAGTAAGATTTTAGTTGCATGCAGTATTAATGATACTGTTTGAAAATTTCCATGTTCTGTGTGATCACCTTTCTTTGGAATGGGTATAAATATGGATATCTTCCAGTTTGTTGGCTAGCTAGCTGTCTTCCAAATCTCTTGGCATAGCCATGTGAGTGCCTCCAGCATGGCATCCATTTGTCGAAATATCTCAATGGGTATTCTGTCAATTCCTGGAGCCTTGTTCTTTGCCAATTCCTTCAGTGCAGCTTTGACTTCTTCGCTCAACACCATTGGTTCTTGATCATATGCCATCTCCTGAAATAAATGAACATCAACTAACCCTTTTTGGTACAGTGACTCTGTATTCCTTCCATCTTGTTGTGTTTCCTGCATTATTCAGTATTTTGCCCATAAATCTTCCAATACTGCAATTAGAGGCTTAAATTTTTTCCTCAGTTCTTTCAGCTTGAGAAATATCGAGCATGTTCTTCCCTTTTGCCTTTCCAACTCCAGGTCTTTGCACATTTCATTATAATATCTATGTCTTCTCAAGCTGTTCTTTGAAATCTTCTGTTCAGCTCTTTTATCTTGTCATTTCTTCCATTTGCTTTAGCTCCTCTTTGTTCAAGGACAAGTTTCAGAGTTTCTTCTGACATTCCTCTTGGTCTTTTCCTCCTTTCCTATCTTTTTAATGACCTTCTGCTTTCTTCATGGATGATGTTCTTGGTGTCATCTCACAATTCCTCTGGTTTTTGGTCACTGGTGTTCACTGCATCAAATCCATTTAGATGGTCTCTAAATTCAGGCGGGATATATTGAATGTCGTATTTTGGCTCTCGTGGACTTGTTTTAATTGTCTTCAACTTCAACTCGAACATACATATGAGCAGTTAATGGTCTGTTCCACAGTCAGGTCCTAGTCTCGTTCTGGCTGAAGATACTGAGCTTCCCCATGGCCTCTTGTCACAATGTAGTCAATCTGATTCCTGTGTACTCTATCTGGAGAAATCCAAGTGTACAGCCCCCATTTGTGTCATTGTAAAAAGGTATTTGCAATGAATAAGTCATTGGTCTTACAAAATTCCATCATTTGTGTGATGGTTATGTTTGTGCGTCAACTTGGCTGGGCAGCTGGATGTAGTACTCCCTGTGATGAGACTGGCAATCAACTCCATGGTGCAATCTACTGTAAGCAGCTGAGTAGCTGCCTTTGGGTATGCGGTCTGCTTCCCGTATAAAAGCTTTGGGAATGGTCTCTAGCCTATGGCACGCTTGGACCATGCATGTAGCTGTGTCGTTGCTCAGCAGCCTGCTATGCTCTGCTGACCTTGGGACTTAAAATGGACTTAAGTCAATGGCCTGCCGTGTGGTAACATCAGGACTGTGTCTTTTTACTTGTCAACCTTGGGGTTTCTCAGCCTCAGCAGCCAGCAGCTGTCGAGTAAGAAACGCCTCTAGCTCCAGTGGGCTGGGAGTAGGAGGCAGAGCAGGACCCCAAGGTTGAGGGGCTTTCACCTAGCCCCTGGAGCCTGGCACTTTGAACTTGGACTTAAAGCCTCCAAATTTTAAGAACAAACTCCTGTTTGTTACGGCCATCCATTTGTGGTATATTCTTGTCAGAGCAGCACTAGGTAACCAGAAAAATATGCCACGTTATTCTTCTTCATTTAGTTATTGCTGGCACATATGGTCATCTGATCATATGGCTATCTGATTCAAAACGGCCAAAACCAATCCATTTCAGCTCACTAATGCCTAGGATATCTTTATGTGTTCCATTTTATTTTTAACAACCTCCAATTTTCTTAAGATTCATACTTCGTACATTCCATGTTCCAATTATTAATGGATGTTTGCAGCTGTTTCTTCTCATTTTGAGTTGTGCCACGTCAGCAAACAGAGATCTCAAAACCTCTAATCACTAAAGTCGTTTCTACTCTGAGGAGGCAGCTCTTTCCCAGTCATATTTTGAGTGCCTTCCAACCTGATGGGTTCATTTTCTGGCACTGTATCAGACAATGTTTCAGGGCTATTCATAAAGTTTTCCAGTAATATATCTGACAGTGTTTCAATGCTATTCATAAGACTGGCCAAGTCTCTGAGAAGTGGATGGCCTCTTCCTCCTTCTGAGTCTGTCTTAGTCTGGAAGCACCGCTGAAACCTGTCTACCATGGGTGACCCTGTTGGCATTTTAAACACTAGTGGCATAGCCTCTAGCCTCACAGCAACATGCAAGCCACCAAAATATGACAAAATGACAGATAAGTTCATCTACCTTAGCTGTTTCAAACCACTCCACTCACTTCCTGGTCTCCCCCTTACCTATTCTGGCCATCTGCTGGCTCCTGCTTCCTGCATGGCCTCTCCCCTTACCTGTTCTGGCCAACTGCTGGCTCCTGCTTCCTGCATGGCCTCTCCCCTTACCTGTTCTGGCCATCTGCCAGTTCCTGCTTCCTGCCAGGCCTCTCCCTTGTAGACAATACAAAAGGCTAAATGTCCAAAGCGGCCAATTAGATGCAACAACTAGTCTCTCCTCATCCAGAGCAAAGAAAAATGGAAAAAAAAAAAAACTCATGGAAACAATTAGTCAAAGGGACTAATGGACCATGCATACCTCACCCTATGTGACCCTGAGACCAGAAGAGCTAGATGGTACCTGGCTACCAATGTCAACCACTCAGAAAGGGATCAGTGTAGGATATCTTGGATAGAGTGACAGAAAAATGTGGAAAAAACCCAAAATCATAAAAAAAAGATCAAGCTTACTGGTCTGATAGAGCCTGGTCAACCCCCCAACTATAGCCCCTAGTCACCCTTTGGGCTAAAACTGAACTCACTCCCGTGGCTTCCAGCCAAAGAGTGGCAGGTATAAAAGGTAAACATTTATATCAGGTAGGTACACTCCTAACTTAGAACATGGGAGATCAGAAGAGCAGTATTTGCACAGGAAGATAGGTTAAAGGGAAGGAATGCATGGGAAAGAAAGACACAGGGAAATGACCACAGGGATGAAATGGGATGAGAGCTGTTACATTATGGGGTATAAAATCAATGCCATGAACAAAATTTGTATGAACTATTTCATAGAAAATGAATTTGCTCTGTAAACTTTCACTAAAATCACAATATTTTAAAAAAAAAAGCTAGACATTCAGCCAAAAGGATGGTAATATTATGAAGTCGTTAAAATTATTATGTAGATCTGTACTGATGGAAAGCGAACTATGACATTTCAATACTAAAATTTTAAAGCAGACTACAACTTTATGATACAATACCACAAATATAGCAGTTCCATTTCTATAAAAATGTATGTATGTGTTCATACGTGTATGGATTCGTAAAAAAATTCTGGAAGGACATCGTCATCATCATCTCTGATATAAATGAGTACATGACAAGCAATGTTAATGTAAAAATAAGCTACCTATAAGGGAATATTTATCTTCTGATAAGAGGCAAGAAATTCTTTTCAATTATACGATAAAATCATATTCCAATATATCTGAACAAAATACAAAAATGCAGTAGAAAGAAAAAACATTATGAGATAAAATGTTACTAGGGCCTACATCTTATTTTATCAAAAAGAACAAGCTTTTCAAAAGAATACAAAATGATCAGCTCTGCCATACCCAATTCTGCACCTAGTTGCCCCCAACCATCAGGCAGGTGCATGGCTCAAAATCTTTTGTAAAAAATGTAATGGACTGTACTGATCATCTGTACACTTTCCAAGGAACATCTAGGGAAAACAGCAAGAAGAGCTGATGAAACTTCAGAGTTACTCGGAAAGTCCAAGAAGAGAATTTAGCACCAAATTTAGCACCAAAACAACCACTCTCAGAGAACAATTCCGTCATAAAAAAGTGTGTGTGTTTGTATATCACATATGCTATACAGAAACCACACTGAAAGATAGTAAGAATTTCTCAAAATACAGACAAGTGGATCAGGGCTAAAATTGGTATTACTATTTTAAAATAAGCACAGTTAACCAAAAAACAAAGACCACACTCTTGTTTTACCCCCAATTAATACTCACTATATTCCAGTTTCTTTCTCTTCTTTTTCTCTTTTAATAGTTCCTCTTCCTCCCTGACTCCCTCCTCTCCTTCTTCTCTTGGCTCCTCTCCCATAGTATCGTAAAATACTGGATCTCGATGAGCAGCTTTCCTCTGCAAATGCTTAGTCTTTGATCCCCCTTTAACAAGCACAACTTTTCTTTTCAAACAAGTGCAGCCAAACATGCAGTCTGGTCTGCGGCAGTGAGCAGGCTGGCGTTTCTCCAAAGCTAGGCTGGAACATACGCAACCCAGTCGACAAAAATCATTGTTGCATGGAGGAGCGCGTTTCCTTATGATTGTATGGATAGGTTTGGTTTTGAGAGATGCCTAAAATTAAAGTAGAAAATAGTAATTCTGCAACTGCCCAAATACATGACTTAGAAAATGTATTTGCTCTGCTTGGTCCGCCTTCTTCTCTAATAGCACAAGATTAACACAGATACAAAGGGCAGATCATAACTGTAGGTAAGACGGTGAGTAACCTCCCACTGTAATACATGACAGACATAAGCAAAAGAATGAATATTCTCATTTATTACCCAAAATAGCAACAAAGATAGATTTATTCATAAATGCTCTAGGGTATTTGTGAATATATGATACAAATGCTCTAGGACAGAGGCTGACAAACTAATGCCCACAGACCAAGTACAGCCTGTTTTATGAACAGTTTTACTGGAATACAGCCAAGATCATCTATTTGCACACTGTCTAAACCAAAAACCAAACCCACTGCCATCGAGTCGACTGCGACTCATAGCCACTCCCTTTGAGTTTACGAGGCAGCAAATCTTTATGGAAGTAGATTGCCCCATCCGCCTTCCACGGAGTAGCTGGTGGGTTTGACCCACCAACCTTGTGGACAGCAGTCAAATGCCTTAGGCGCTATGTCACCAGAGCTCCTTCTGCATATTGTCTGGAGGGCACTAAAACAGTAGAGTTGAGTAACTGCAACAGAGACTGTATGACCTACAAAACCCAAAATATTTACTTTCCAGCCTGTTGATAAAAAGTTTGCAGATCCCTACTCTAAGATAAATAATAAAAAGGAAGAGGATAATACAGGCACAAAAGTGTATGGGAATGATTAATAACAAAGGACACAACCTGCATTTAGTCCCAACATCTGATGATCTTCAGCTCTAGAATTCAGTCACATAATGAAAAAATCAAAGGTAAGGTATAAAAATTCACAATCTAAAAATGACCAATATGTTGTTCTGTCATGTGACATGCATCCAAAGGCAGTTAACATGAGTGTATTAATAAATTTAAAAATCTTAATATAAAGTTTTACAAATAACAAATTTTTTTCTCCATAAGTTTATAATTTCTTTTGCTGTAATTTGGTACCTTTTAAGCAGAATTTTCAAACTTCTTTTTAAAAGATGAGCAAATGTACTTGTTTACATGCTACAGAATGAAATTAGAGACTTTCAGAATAGCCAGCTGCCTTTATACAGGAGAGGGATGGTATTCCAAAGTACAATTAATTGTACAGTCTCCCTCTGCTGGCAGACAGAATCTATCTACACTTGAATGACGAGTTGATAATAAAAGAACAAATGGAGAACATCTGTTTAAGAACAAGGTTTATTTGTAACCAAGGTAACTAAATGCTTACAACTTACTGTCAAAAGACCTCATTCCCAACTTCCCCCGACTAATCTCACTCTTCCTAGGCAAGCACTGCTATGTATCCAGAAAAACAGGAGACACTTACTTGAGCTGTAAGCAGAGTTGTTAAGGACACATCTGCTCGCTCTTCAGTAATGTAAGTCCTTGGTTTTCCCTCCCAAAGTGCACAGTCCTCCAGGTCCATTAGCTTCACCTGAGATTTAGACAAGCCTGGAGGGCGAGTTCCTTGGAACTGTTGCTGCTGCTGCTGATGTGCCTGCCGCAGACTAATCTGCTTCGGAAAAGCATTCTCCTCTGAAGTTGACACAACAAAGTTATTCACTTGGTTTTCTAAAATGGAGCTGGCGGAAGTCTTGGTAACCCTATCTGCTGGAATCATATGGGAGTGTTTCTGCTTTGGTGAAACAGGATATGGTAAGATGGATTTATAAGATGATTTAGTTCGGCCACTAAAATTTGCCTGTTTGTTTTGAGACTTCACCTTTCGAGAGGGAGGGGGTATAGAATGAGGTTTCAAAGAGAAAGAGGTAGAAGGGGAAATGGTAGATTGCTTCTTCAGTACACTATCAAGTGTTCGTACATAGCTGGTACTCTTGGTGGGAAGCTGATATACCACAGGAGATGTGGGAGCATTAGAAGAGAAACCCATGCTTGTTTCCATCAGCTTGCCTTCATTTTCCAAGTATTCATCTAGCTTGTCACTACAGAAAGCAGAACGGTTTTTCAGTGAACTTTCTGAATTGCCCCCTAGAATAAAAGATACAAGGTATTTTTAATAATCTAGGACAAAAATTTGTATTGTTTAAGTAACCTCAACATTTTTTAAAAAAATCACACAAACATGTATTTGTAATAAAGCTTTCTATAAAAAGTATTTTTAAAAAATAGAGCAGATCATCAGAAAAAGTGTACTAAAAAAAAGGCAGGTGCACTAGATACAAGCTACTGAATCTTCTAAGCTGACCCTCCTCAGAAGGAAGGCAAGATATAAAACCAAGAGAAGAGACTGAGTCTCAGATACGAATTACATACTAAAATTTATTCTCTGGGGAAAATTAAGATGATGTTTGCTTAAATTATGTCTTATCCTAAAATTATCAAGTTACATATTTATTGAACATTAACTATTTGCCAAATGTTCACACAGTAATTAATATAAGAATTTTAAACCTTTGACAACTTACGATCTAATTATCAGATCACACTTAAGTGAAAATTAAAGAGTAAAGAACATATATAAATCAAAATAGATGCCAAGGGACTATTTAAGAGATTCAAATAGCCAGAATCTGATATAAAATGCTAGGGGAGAGGTAAGACCACATAAAGAAGATTATAAAATTTAGGTTTTTTTTTGTTTTGTTTTTTGTTTTTAAAACTTTATTGTGGATCTCATCAATATTCTTTAGGGATAGGGAAAAACCAATCACTATTGGTTTATAGTGGAAAGGAAAGAGACCTCGGATAAGCAAAGCACTAGTGAAGAAGAAAAACAAAGTAGGAGGTCTCACCCTGCTGGATCTCAAAACCTACTATTCAGACACAGTAGTCAAAACTGCCTGGTATTGGTTTAATGACAGATACATAGACCAATGGAATAGAATTGAGAACCCAGATATAGATCCGTCGACTTATAGTCAGCTGATCTTTGACAAAGGCCCAAAATCCATTAAATGGAGAAGAGAATGTTTGTTTAATAAATGGTGCTGGCAAAACTGGAGATCCATTTGCAGAAAAATGAAACAAGATCTGTACCTCACACCA